ACCTCCCACATCCCTCTCCTCTCCTGCCAGCTTCTCTCAGCTGGACACGGTCCCCTGCAAGGACTCAGGGCCACAGGGGCAGATCAGTTCCTGAGTGTGTGTGTGTGTGTGTGTGCGCGCGCGCGCGCGCCTACATCTCCTACTAAGTCATTTCAGACCCATCTGTCTGATCACTGTTAAGCACCTATTAAGCACCTATTGTTTACAAGGATCTATATTTGGCCCCTTGAGGGAGCTCAGGAAGTATAACCCCATGGTCCTTTCCCAAGGACCCAAGTGTGTCTACACAAAGGTGGAATGAACCTTTTGAAACGTATACAAGCTTTGGCCGGTGTGGCTCAGGTGATTGGAGCATTGTCCCGTGCACTGAAGGGTCGAGGGTTGGATTCCCAGTCAGGGCACATACCCAGGTTGCAGGTTCGATCCCAGGTCCAGACGCGTACAGAAAGCAACCGATCAATGTTTCTCTCTTGCATCGATGTTTCTTTCCCTCTCTCTCCCTCTCCCTTCCTCTTGTTCTAGAATCAATAAAAATGTGTCCTTGGGTGAGAATTTATAAATAAAAATAAATAGAATAAAACATATACCGAAATGTAGAAAGTTTAGAAAGTGGAGATAAGCGGGTATAACAACAGCCCAGGAGCGCAGAGACACTGGTACCGGTGGTGGGTCCAGGGCCCAGGGATGCCCAGCGAGGGCTCTGGAGCTCGCTGAGGAAGGGGACGTAGGGCTGGGAGTCGGGAAAGGCTCTCTGACAAGAGGCGGACTAGGGCTGAGCCTTGGGGCGTGAATCAGATAGTGAACCGGAGCGCAGGAGGGCTGGCGGGGCGGGCAGCCGCCCACAGAGAGGCCCAGAGGGAGAAACCTGCAAGTGGATGGAGGGACAGGTGGCGACTCATGTGACTGATGCAGGGTTTGTGTAGCAGGCTGGTGGGAAGGTGGGCTGGGACACACCTTAAATGCCAGTCAAGGAATTTGGGTTCAATTTTGGAGGCAACCCAGAGGGGAGGCAGCTCGTGTAGTGTTCGCGGCCCAAGCTCTGGAATCGGACGGGGCCTGCATTCAAGCCCCGCCTTGCCGTTTGCTAGTTCTGTGTCCTTGGGTGAGTCATTGGCCCTTTCTAAGCCTCGCTTCACTCGTCTGTGTAAGAACGACATACTCAGGTGCACTGCCGTTCCGTTGGTCCCTGCAGCAGGGAGGGGACGGCTGGGGGGTTAAGCCCCGGCTCCTCTGTGCTTCGTTCCAGAGTGGGCCCATCCGCCAGAACTGGCTGCAGGCCCCACCTTGCCGCCAGAGGCTGTGGGGTGTGGGGAAGCAGCCATCAATCTGTGTCTGCCACCAGGGCTACCAACAAGGATTTGGAGGGGAGGAGCCCCGGGATTTGGGCAGAGGACCTAGTGCAGTACCTGCCATGCACGGGTCTAACCAGAGGGGTTCAGGGAGCATCACCACCAGCAGGTCCCGAACCCCCCAGGCCCTGCTCACCGGACTGGTTGGGGGTGAGCGGGTGGGTTCCAAGGTCACCCTGACCCCTTGGGTTTTATCTCAGGCTCTTTGCTGGAAGCCCTTTCTGAGGCATCTACAGGAATTTGAGGGGTGTCTGGGTACAGCCTCCCTCTAGTGACGGCTCCCCACCCGGGCACAGGCACCAGCACGCCTGCTGTAGACACGGGATCCAGCACAGCGAGGGACCGCTCCCCTCTTTTCCCCAGGGAGTTGGCCAGCGTCTCTGACAGTGGAGGACTCGCCTCTTCCCCACAGGGTTCCACTTCTCCAGGGCACAGTGAGGTGCAGGAAGAGAACTATCCCAGAGGAGCTGTAGCCCCAAGGCCCAGACTGTCCCACCCCAAGGTTATCTCATCCTCCAGGCTCCCAACAGAGCTGCACCCGCACCACCCCCACCCGAACCACTCCAGTGTGGTCCCGGGCTGCTTGCTAAGTAGGAGGGAGGGACAAGCTGCTTTCTAAACTGCCTGCCCTCTTTATCTCGGATGTCTTCTCCACTCGCCAAAACCCCAGAGCGATTCAGGTCTGGACACTGCGCCCTAGGCCCAGCCCAGGGCACCGAGGGTCAGGCCCCTGGGTCCCAGGCTGGAGTGTTCAGCCACGTTGCCAACAGGAACAGAAAAGACAGAGGCCACTGAAAACTCTAAGACAGTGGTTCTCAACCTTCCTAATGCCGCGACCCTTTAATACAGTTCCTCATGTTGTGGTGACCCCCAATTTCATTGTTACAAATTGAACATAATTAAAGCATAGTGATTAATCACAAAAACAATATGTAATTATATGTGTTTTCCGATGGTCTTAGGCGACCCCTGTGAAAGGGTCGTTCGACCCCCAAAAGGGTCGCGACCCACAGGTTGAGAACCGCTGCTCTAAGAGAACTCAGGCAACTTTTGTAAGAGACTTTCTAGTTGTCACTTCTCCCAGTCTCCTTTCTGATGGGAGAATGCGTCTGTCGGGATTTGTGTCTGAGTTGAAGGTGACTCTGGATTTGCTAAGTGTGGCAGGAAAATGTGCTCAAACTTGGAGGAAGAAGGGAACCCGCATGTGGAGAGGATCACAGGTGTCACAGATCCTGTGGAGCCATGTGGTTCCCCCTTCCGCTCCCCAGGACTGTGATTTGCATTATTAGTGTGAGGGTCTAATATCTGTCCCCCGATTAGACGGAACGAGCCACGGGCAGGGGCAGGTCTGCTTTTGCTCACTTCAGAAATACGGATAGTGGGGTTAGGGCTCGAGTGAATGACACACTGACCCAGACTGGCCATCACTCAGAGCCATTGTGCTGAAGCCCAATTCCTGCCAAGTTGGTGTAGGAAGGGGACCCCAAACGTCCACTTTGGGGCAGTAGAGGGTGCTGATGGCAAACAGCAAGGGAAGGAGGCAGCAGTTAGCCCCCCAGTCAGCACTGTGCAGCCAGCATTTCTAATGAGGATGCTAATCTAATTCACAAAGACTGGATGGTGCCTGCCGTCCTCTCCACTTCGAAGGTTCTACTCGGTGTCTTGCTGCATCTCAGGCTCTGCCGGACCATTCCAGGCGACAAAGGTGCTTGAGAGAGGGCCCTTCTCTCTCCCAAGGACTCCATCCTCATTGTCAAGTCTCCAGGAGTAATTTCTTCTGATTTGCTCGGCTATAGAAAACTCACAGAAGCCAGGGAAGGAAGGGACAGGGCGGGCCGAAACCAACAACAACCCATTTATTCTGGGTGACAGTTGAGATGCAAATAAACGGTTGTAATGCAAATCACACCCAAAAGAAATCTCAAGGCAAAGGCCCCAGGAGTCAGCCTTGGTGTGGGAGCCCATCTCTGAGTTTCAAATTAAAGGCTGCGGCAGCTTCGTCCTGTGCCTGGCTGCTGGGCGGTCTCCTGTCCTTCCTCGGGCTCAGGGAAGCCACGGGAAGCGCGCAGCACACTTGTTCGCGTTGATTCCATCCTGTCTGCACCCACCTCCTGCCCCCAACATGTTCTTTGCATTTTCTCCACTTAGTTAACTTTTCCTCTCCTGATCGTGCCTGTGCCTTCTCCCCCCTCCCCCTAGTCCTATCCAGCCCCAGGCTGTCCTGTTTGCCCATCTACACCAGTGGGGTTATTGGGATGGCTGGAATTTTCCATTCAGTTCTTAAACCTTCTTCTCCTTGGAAGCAAGTGGATTATCTGCGTTCTGCATCCTGCCTCTGAAGGGTGGGGAGGGAGGGGAGGGAGACAGGGAGTGTGGGGGGCCATCCATGCCTCCAGCTGCTTTACAAATTCCAGCAACTGGGTGTGCTTTTAAACGCCATTTTGCATTATGCACGACCCCTCCCAGTGGACTCGGGTAGCTAAAACCGGGCAGTTCCTCTCACCTGCCTCCATCGACATCCCTTCGTGCGTCGTGTCTTTCTTCTCAGGAGTTGGGAGCATTTGATCCACTTTATTTCTGCCTCGCTCCTGACCCACAGCTTCGCAGGACACGCCTGCTGTTGTCCTTGAGAACATCTTCGTGGAGGAACAGGGTTAGAATGGGGAGTGGGGCCCCAGTATCCCCCACAGAGGCCTCTACTGCCTGGTTCTGGCTGCTTCTGGAAACAGACCTCATTCATTTGC